TTTTTTATTCGTATAAAAAGCCAGGATTGTTTTGTTATTGAATAATACCAGCCGAGAGATTAAAAACAAAAGTAAGTTTAAACGCTTTTTGGCAATTAAATTGTTTTGCAAACAAATGCTAAAAATATTTAGAAACAAAAGCGGACAACTTAACTTTGAACTCATGATCCATCCCGAATAAAATAAAATAAAACAACGTTGCCTAGTTCATTCATATGAATTATAGGTTAAAAGCAACTATATGCACAGGACTCATTTGTTTTTTACACAGTTTGATTTGGAAGAAAAAAGTTTGATTTAGAAGAAAAACCATGGTTATTAAATACAAATAATTACACAATAACTAACACAATTCTATATTAATATCCTTGTAATGGTGAGAAAATACATCAAATAACACCATTACAAACTTAATCCCAATTTCATATTGTATTTTTAGAAATTTAACTGTGACGTCACTTTTTGTGGCGTTTATACATTTGTGTGACGTACTGTTCATTATTCTAGTGTGCTGTATTTGTGTTCTGTCATAAATTAATTTTAGGTGTTCGTTGTTATTCTGTGGTTTACATGTTGAAATGGACTATTATATTATTTATTTATGTATTTCTCTGTCCTGAATGTTCTTGCATTTATTTGTACTTTATTCCTGTCACGTAATGTTGTCATTTTCGCGGATTTGTTTTTATAGCAGTTCAATGTTTCTGTTGTTCCGTTTTGTTTCTTCTTATAGTTGATGTGTTCCCCTCAGTGTTGGTTTGTGACCCTGATTTATTTTCGCTTAATCGATTTATGACTATTGAACAGCGGTATACTACTATTGCCTTTATTTACGTTAAACTTGGACTTCACTAGTGTAATTATTTCCCTGGATTGTTACTGTTTTGTAGAATTCAAATATGTATACAGGTTAAGAGGAAACATTTGATATATGTGTATGTATTATTGCAAATGTTAAGACGACACATGACAATTTTGAATATTGATAATGTTTCAAACAAGGCAACAATGCGTTATGTTTAAAATTTCATAAAAAGTATTTCTTAATGTATTGCAGACAGGTTGACGACATAATGAAAACAACATCGGTTTGACAGTTAAATTGGAATACGTATAACATGCGGTTTATATTGACTTATTCAGATGGGATCCTAGTTTTCCTATTCATTACCAGTATACAAGATGTCAATTCTTCATTTTTTTAAAAGACATTTTTAACAAGCTACAAGGGAGCACTTGAAAATCCAACAAAAGCAAATAACACCATGTAAAAAAAACGATAAAAGGACATACAACAATAACAAAACTATACAAAGAAAACTAAGACCTAGCATCCGTCGTGTTGGTCATGAAAATATCCATTGTAAGTCTTTTGTGGTAAAATAGGAAAGATTGTTGTTATGACAAGTGGAACATATTCAGAGTTATATGTAATACAAATATTTCAAATATGTCAACCAAACTATGGTCGCGTCCACAAAGCCATTTAAGGGATGCCACTATGATCGCGTCCGAAAAGGCACTAACATAAGTATTAGTCAAACACCTCAACATTGAATTAAATGACCGGAGCACATAAACAAATCTGAATCATGGTAATATATACCTTTATCATAAAGGTTTTGTATCAAAGATGTCTGTATTTAATCGTCATTGTTAAATATTTCTCCTATAGTTACGGGGTGTCTATTATCCGAACGAGCCTCGTGTTTAAATATATTTCAAAATCATGTCTGTAGTAAATGACTGTTTTGACTATTTGTTACTTACAATACACGTAGATAATACTTACATATTAGATCTCTTTTCTTTTCTGAAAGACGAAACAAATCAATGGTGTCAGTTTCACATGTATAAGTGACAGATTCCCAAACAAATATACTGATAGATGTGTTGTCGTTTACTCAGATAGCGTTTTCAAAGCAAAACAAATGGTTTCGAATAAAATGTGGTTGATTTACTTCATTTTACCACCTATTGCTGAATTATATTGTGAGTTAACCACTCAAAATCGTTATGGACAAAGATAACATTATTATGATAACATTTACAGCATTACATTTTCTTTATCAGACGTGCATTACGACAATTAATGGTCTCATAGGTGATGAATGAATCAGCAAATATAAGTATATAAAATAAATACAAACGTAAAGTGTTTAAAATAATAAATATTTGCTGCATTGAGAGCTATACATTATGCTTCCATTGACAATTATGTTAATATTTATGAGTCGTTTTATCGTTCTGAATATGTGAAACAATATCGTCGAAAAGGGCCAATGTCGAGTCATTGAAGATAAAGTTCAATGTTAAACTATAATTAGTGTATGTACGATTTGTCGTTCATTATTGAGGAGTGTGGTTAAGTTCAATGTTGTTCTGGAATTTTCAACGAACTAAAACTACAATGTTTTACCAAGGTATAAGTAAATATTTTTATTAACGTATCAAAATTGACCTTACAACAGTTTTTCCCTTTAAGTTATTTTGGGAAATTCGGTATCCAAGTGACTATTATACGTCCATTCATATTAATGATGGCACAAACGGACCGATGGTGCTCGTGACCTGCATATACAGGTGTTTTATTTATTTCAAATCTCAAAGTATTTACAAGTTATGAGGTAGATTTCTACTAAGAAACTACTCTTGAAAACTCTTTCTGTTTTTTCTTACATCAATGATCTTTAAGTGGATTTCTGAAACAATGCAATCATCTTGGTGTCCTTAGCCAAGTACAATTGAAAGACGTTGCATATTTCGAAGAAAACAGATATTCCGCACATCATTGAAAGTTAAACATTTAAAACCTTTTTTTATTCAAACATCGGATACGCCATATAAGAAAAATATATATATTTACGTCATGACAATAGAAACAATATTAAGGAACTTACCCGCACTTATGACATCTGTACAAGTATCTGCCTTCCTCTTTTGGTTTCACATCCTGTTCATAATCACTATAATGAACACCATAATTTATTGAATTAAAATTGAACTTTTTTTTTAGATGATATAAACACTGAGCTATTACTAATTGGTACACAAATAAACAGTGTAAAAATACCAAACGGCATTTGAATATTCATGAGGCACTTCCAAGTCAATGATTCTCAAGTTAGATAAAAACAAATTATAATCTACCCATACCCAGACAGAGATATAACCTTAGCACCATATGGTGACCGTGTCGGATATTCTAGTGTTGATGATCATATTGGTCTATATCGTCTCTTTTTTACAAAACCTGATGACATCACCAAAACAATATTCGAATGTACACCAACTGATGTATCGACAAGGTAGTAACGAATTAACGACATTCTCATCTATATTCAAAATCCATATAGAATTATTTATGTTTTATATATACCTTTCTCTTCCTTTTCCCCGGCTTTCTTACAACAAAAAATATCATGAACAGATGAAGTCTTTTGACTTAACAATACGCAAAACAGTTTAATTGTTCTGCATATTTGTAATATCACATGACTATTATTCCAAACATTTTAAAAATAACTGGTAGTGTTATGTTAAGTTCATTCAGTGATAGTATACAGTCAAACGAAACAAGTAAATTAACAAAAATACCGAACTCCGAGGAAAATTCAAAACGGAAAGTCCCTAATCAAATAGCAAAATCAAACCAACTTTACTAACTTTCGTCGCTATTCGTTAATGTGACTGCTAAAGTCGTTGACCTCTTCATCAACAGTAGATTGTGAATGTGACTGCAAAAGGCGTTCATCCCTTTGTCAATAGTCGATTGTGAATGTGACTGCTGAAGTCGTTGACCCCATCGTCAACAGTCTATTGTGAATGTGACTACTGGAGTCGTTGACCCCTTCATCAACAGTCGATTTTAAATGTGACTGCTAAAGTCGTTGACCCCTTCAACAGTCGTTTGTGAATGTGACTGCTGAAGTCATTGACCCTTTCATCAACAGTCGATTATGATTATGACTGCTAAAGTCGTTGACCTCTTCATCAATAGTCGATTGCAAATGTGACTGCTGAAGTCGCTGACCCCTTGATCTCTAATCGATTGTGAATGTGACTGCTGAAGTCGTTGAACCTATGATAACCATTCGACTGTGAATGTGACTGCTGAAGTCTTTGAACCCTTCATCAATAGTCGATTTTAAATTATCTGGTGAATGAGGATATTTCAAAGAATAGAAAACATCAAAGTGGACATCTAAACTCAAACGTCGAAGACATATTGGGAAATATGTGTCAGACAACGAAAATTGACGAAAGGACACACGACAGTTAACATAAAACTACCTATACAAAATTAAAAGAAGACTGCGCACCATGACTCGATAATGTCGTTGGAAAAACAGTATGGTGTCCTCAGCTTATATCATGCACAACTTGCCTTACTAGTGCTGATAATTTTGATGAATTTCTTTTGCATTCAGTATCTTGGTTATATCGTAAATTTATAGTATCAAGGTTCTAAATCTTCAACTATACAAGCAGACACATTTTAACGAGCAGTTTATTTACGAAAATTAAATACAACTAAATTTTAACGCTATGGAAAATAATTTAAGAGATACGTTTGCATAGCATTATCAGTATTAGTCACTTAATCGTAATCGTGCTCGATTTAATGCTTGCTGACGTATGCAACGCATTACAAATGACTTTGTAGAAGATGTAAATTAAAGCAAAACGAAATATTTAAAACAAATATATGAGTTGGTGAAATATGTATCAATAAATATAAGCAAATACAGCTTTAAAACCAGCTACTTAGAAACAATGTAATGAAGTTAAGTACATAACTAGTACAAAAGTCAACAGTTAAATAGTGCTCTGATTTGCACCATATAGGATACCAATTCAATCAAAATCGTCGATAGAGGGGCTTCATTATGTAAAATTATAAGGTATACATGAATAATTTACTTAAAAATTTGACGAAGAGGTTACATTGTCATAAGAGTAAGTTTAACACTGTGAAATATACAAACATATTGCCCTACCTCTTTGGTTTAGGTAATTCTTTCTCTCTGTGCCCGGTTTGTAGTGTACGTACATCCCTGTAAAAATAGTCCAATGGATTTGATTTTATGTAAAAACTATGTGTTTCTTTAAGGCATAATATCAAAACAAAACATTTTAACAATTCTTGAAAACAAATTTTTCGGTACCGGTTTGAAAACTTAGTATTCCTGAATTGCTTCTTAATTTTACGAAGTATCGGGACTACATTGTTATTTCATTTCGTAATGTACATAATTATTGGCCACATCTGTTTTAACTAAAGAACATTGTTAATCGATTATAAATAATAAACTGAAAATAATCACATCTTTTGTTTTATTAAATTGTCTCCACTCCGTCTTTCATGCGATTTACTTCAGAAATACAGTAATATTTGAAGAAAACAGATTTATGATTAACCAAATATATACATCGGGAACAAACTTACACGAATAAGTGTCACATTATAAAGCATATGTTACGACTTCAAAAAGCAGTCGACCAATCAATACTCTTATCATGTGTTTTCCCCATTGATTTACCTTATATTGAATGTGCCAAACAGCTGTTTGATGTCATGATCAGTTGTGGACTTAGCAGTATAGTGTACGTCGGGATACTCGGTTATAGGCTTTATCGCCAGCTTTGCAATGTCATCGGTAAGCTTCTGTAAAGATTGTAACAATTTATCATCGTTTCGCGTCTTGTCTAGTTCATTTATCGTCTTGTCTAAGTCGCTTCCCACTTCCAAATCTATTCTAGTATCTGATATGATCGTTGTCAATTTGTCCTTTTCCGTCCTGGATTGATCCATGACCGATGCAATCAAATGTGCGATACATTTATCAACCAAAGCCTTTATATTTGTACCTTCTTTGGTAATAGCTTTGACAACCTTTTCTACCTTCATATCAAATGCCCTTAAACCTTCTTCCATTTTCTTCATGTTTTTGGTAGCCTCTTGTACCTTTCTACGCAGTTCTTGTTTATTCTTCGCTTTCAACCGTGAGATGCTGTCATGAAGCTTTGAGAAATCGTGCCGTTTGTGACTTCCTGTCACACAACTGCTGCAAACTGCTACATTACAGGTATTACACACAAAACTTACGTCTTCATTGTGGTCTTTGCATTTTGATTTACCTTCCGGGATTATGTTTAATGCAGACTGAAACTGGTGAGTTTTTGATATTTTCTGCCTATTATGAAATGTTTTACAATTTTCACAAAAGTATTGCTCACACTCTAAGCAGTATTGCGATCCTGAAGCACTTATGCAAATCTCGCATGTTTTGGACGCCGCCTGAGCCATTTTATCGGAAAGCATATCCACTTATCACACAGGTGATTTTAAAAACCCGTGACACAGTAATCTATATTTAGATAGAATACGATTATATCAATCTGTGTCGTTTATTGATTTGAAACGTTAGGTATATATAGAATAATACATGGCAAAATCCGTATAGCATGCTGTATCACCACGAGAAACCAATATCAGTCCCTAGGGCCAAAGGTCCCGAGGGCTGATATTGGTCGAGTGGTGATACAGCATACGATACAGATTTTGCCATGTATTAATCTGTTTATCATATATGCTAATAGAATCAGATTCATGGGATATCTATTTTTTTTTAAATCGTCCGAAATTATAAGCTAGAAAAGAACATAATGATTTTCCTGTATTTTTCCAGCTGACTTTTTTTTTTGTATAGACTTCCGTATTTGCTTTATATCGACATCGTAATGTCCACTATAACCTTATTCATGCTCAATATACGTTAAAGGACCATGAATTGAAATGCATCCCCTAACGATACTGTTCCATTATTTCAACTAAAATTAATATTTATCAAATAAATATCATAATTTTTTTAAGATGTAGAAATGTTTAAAGTTTTATTGTTTATTTGGCGATGATATTATATATGATCATTTTAATTTTCTGACGAGGTGAACAGCAATAAAAATATGTCTTGAAAAGTTTGCTATCTATTCTAACCAAATTAAAATCGTAAAAATTTGCATTTGTGTTTAATCCATCAGGTAATTAAAACAAACTTCACGAAAATTATGACCAAATAAACAATAACACTTCAGATATTTCTACATCTTATAGTGTCTTTTTTTTTATATATAAAAATCGCTCGTAAAATTACTGGATACTAATTTTTTGAAAAATATCGATTGTAGTTGAAATGATGGGACATTTGTTTAAGTGGGAACTCATTTTTTCCTATGCCTGGAAATACAGCAACTGGGCGTCATAGGTCAAACGTTGACGTCATTCGGATTATGACGTCACGCCAGGTATGCGATACGGGTTTTGCTATGCGATATGGGGTATGCGATACGGGGTATGCGATACAGGGAAGGTGATAAAGACTGGTAAAAAGAACCTTTATTAGATATACAAAATTGCTGTATGTTGTACTAAATATATGATAAATTCCAATATAATAGAACCCTCTGTATAAATTAGAAATAATAACAAGCCATCAAAATTAATTAAGTCATTATAAGTAGGAAATCAGTACAACACGTAATACTGCAAAAAACAAAAAACAAAGGGATTGCACATAACAAATTTGAAGCTGATAATAAGTTTATAAAAATGTATAGAATGATTTTTTATATTTACGTCGAGCATTATAATTGAGGCATATGTAGTGTCTATATACCAACTACTGTTCCTTCATAAATATATATTATAAATTGTTTGATTGTTTTATTTTTGTATCCGTATGTTAAACACCTCGTGTTATGAAAATTGACACACAGGTACAATGCCTACAAAACATAATGCATTACTTAAATCTTTCGCTATCAAAATGTGCATTTATTCAAATCATCAACGCAACGCTTTTGATGTTTATATAAGTACACAACAATGAAACATGTTTCATAATTTGTCGATCCATCGTGTATAGGTATTAAAGCGAGCTGTTTCTTTTGTTTGTTGAAATTTGTGCATGTATCTAGCGTGTTTCTATACTAAGAAAAGAACGAATGACCATTTGAGAATAATCAAAGTCAGAGCCATGATTTTATAACATATTCTAAAATTGTTTAATGAATTAGCTACAACAATCCAGATTTTTATCTGATTCATATCAGAACTAAAGAAAAGTCTTACGGATGCCTTTACGAGTTTGTTAAACATTATATAATTTATGTTTTATAGGTGTATTTTCTAATTGTCGTGATCACTATATCGTCCTTTTTAACTCGAATGTGACATCCCCGAATTAATCTTATTAACGAACGTGTATTCAAATGAGAAACACAACAGGTGCCAAATATTGAGCAGCTTTCGGAGCACTTGCATTTTGGTCGCTTTTCGGTTTATCCCATGGCGTTGTCAGTTTGTATTCGACTTATGATATGTACAACAACACATTTTACGAAAAAACAAATATGACAAACATGAACCAAAGACAACCACATAAATATAGGCTCCTGACTTGGGAGAGGACCATTAAGAATGTGGCAGGGTTAACCTTGTTTTGTTCATAACCATGTTGTGGACATTGAACAAATAATAAGACATTCCAAAATACCAACAATAAGTTGAATATTTGAGAAGAAGAAGATTATTAGATTCAAACGAATCATAGTCAAAGATTTCAACTATTGCTTAAACGAATAAAAAAGTCCTCCTGAAGTGAAAAATCTGTTCTTTTTTCTTTCTTTTAAGATCATTAAAGTGAAAATATCAAACGCATGGTTTAGGTACAGGTTTTGAATAACTGAGAATGGAAATATAAACTAAAAAAAAAAGGCGTTATCACGAACCAGCAGACATTTTAAAAATACTTTATTGACATTGTTTATCGAATGTTTGATGCAGTATATTCCGATTGTTTATTCAACAACAACATTGATTGTTTAACAAAAATATAGATATAACAAAAGTATTATATATCAACACCTTAAGAAGCACACTCATCCTATTAAATATTTAGCAGTTCAACCTTTAGAAGTAGTAAATAAGCAGCCTGGTGAATCTCATTCAAAGTTTGTACGATCACGGAAAATAATTGAATTAAATTGGATTAAAAAAATACAGACAGTTTACCCTCTCGGTCTTAATGATAATATCATGGGAATTGGTAATATATCAAGAACCGATTCTGTTAACATTTTGGATATAGTTTCTAAAACTGTTCGTAAAAACCGTTCTCATGGTCGTAGAAAAAATCGCAATCAAAGAAAATTTCGGACCAATCATACCAATATTTCGGACCTAATTTATATTTCAAAAAACAACGACAGACATTATCTGTTAACAAAGTTCTGTTCATTACCGGTTAATAAGTTAAATATAATTTTAGAGGATTGCAACACAATTTCATATAGCAGTCCTAAGTATGAAATCGTTCAAATTATAATGGCATATTGTTATTCTAAACTGTTTCCCAAAATTAATCGCCCTGAAGATCATAAAAAACAGTTTAATAAAATAAAGTATGTCAATAAAGGTTTTGATTTTGTAAATATTGCCGGTATTTTTAACGACCATTCTGTTAAAGAACAAATTCCGGGATATTTTGATAATACTGAGCTCCCTCTTCTTTGTTATATTTACAAGAAATCTACCCGGAAATTTGTGTTTAATTATAGCCAATTATGTAAAGATGTTAATATCAGTAAAATTACACCTACTTCATGTAATTGCAGTAATTCCGAATACATTTATGGACCCATTTCCCATGTTATACCAGGAGATCTTAACATCGTTCAAGACCGAGAGTTAAAATCATTCCTCAGTAAAGGACCTAAATATCGTCCCCCGTCAATTATTAATTGGAATGAGTGTCGTAATATAACCCACGACTCACTCCATACTTACTGTTTGAAATGGATAAAACGTGAAAAAGCTGACAAAAAATCTTTGGACTCTTTTTTTAATTCAGTAATGAACATAGTTGATATACGTATTCAACATTTTAAAGAACATTTTACTCTTAACAATAACCACAATAAACCTATTGCTCGTATCAAACATAAACTAAAAGAACTAGCCAAGGAATTTGTTTTTGTCCCGGCCGATAAAGCTGCTAATAATATTATTATTGTTTGACGTAAATTTTACATTGAGGTTCTGCAAAAAGAAATCACCAATTCACCAACATTCCAACTGACTCCATTTTCAGAAAACGACATCTGTAACAAACATAAATTTTTAGCTACCGCTTTACAAGCAGAACCAAATACAATGAAAGTCCCAACTATGTATTTGCTTCCGAAGCTACACAAAACACCTTACAAATATAGATTCATTTCGTCTTCAAGCCATTGTTCCACTACTAAATTGTCTATGTTTCTTACCAGTACACTTGGTTTAATCAAAAACCTGATAATACATTGTTCAAATAAGGCCTTCGAAAATAGTGGAATTAATTACTTTTTTAGTGTCAAGAACTCGTTGGAAGTACTTGATAAATTACATGCATATATTAATGATTTTGAATCTGTTCAAAGTTTTGATTTTTCTACCCTATATACCACATTGCCTCACATTCTCATTAAGAAAAAATTCACACACCTTATTAAATGGGCATTTAAAAAGTCAGAAAGTGAATATATATGTTCAAACTCTTTTAGGTCATTTTTTAGTAGCAATAAACAAAAAAAAACTATGCTTTGATACTATATATGCCCTTGAATTTTTACTAGATAACATTTTTGTTCGCTTTGGAGATTCCGTATATCGTCAGGTTATCGGAATTCCAATGGGGACTAACTGTGCACCACTTATTGCGGACCCTTTGTTTCTATTGCTATGAGTTACAATTTATGACAAAAATCAGCGAAGACCCATCGAAACAACATCTGATACACAAATTTAATAATACTTTTAGATATTTGGATGATATTTTGGCTCTCAATAATGACGACTTCAGTATGTATACTAAAGAAATTTATCCTGTTGAACTTACTTTAAATAAAGCTAATACTAACAATGACCACTGCCCTTTCCTCGATCTTGATATCTATATCATTAATGGAAAGCTTAATACTAAAATATATGATAAAAGAGATGATTTTTCATTTCCTATCGTTAATTATCCATTTTTAGATGGTGACGTTCCCTTGTCACCATCTTACGGTGTTTATATATCTCAACTTGTACGATTTGCAAGTGTATGTAACAATGTTTTAGATTTAAACGAGAGCAATGTATGTATTACTGAAAAATTATTACACCAGGGTTTTCGATATCACAAACTAGTCAAAACATTTACTAAATTTTATCATCGGTATATTGACATCATTCGTAAATATAGCTCAACATGCAGACTTCTTATACGTTCAGGTATTTCACATCCAATTTTTTATGGAAATATTCTTT